GAACAGAGAGCCCCTATGCTGAGGAGATGGTTTGAGGTACTTTCCATGCAGCCTGGCTTGATCCCACACTGGCTGCTTTCCTGTGCTCTTGAGATCAAGCCAGGTCTTCCACAGTCACAGTAGGGGCTCCTCTCACCACTTCCAGGAGGTCACCTAGGATGAAAAGTGAGAAGAGCCCTTCAAGGGCACTGCAGAATTCTGCTTTGTTTCTATCTCATTCTGAATTGCCGGTAGATTTTTGTTTGCAAGGTACCACATACTTGCTCAGACTCTTAGAATATAGTGCCCCTTCATTGAAAGTTTGGATGAAGGTGACTTATTCAGGGTCATATGACATTCGCTCATTCATTAAGCAAATATTTATAAGAGAACACTGCTATGCAAGTCTAGGAAATAGTCTGTTTCTAATTGAATCTGCCTTCCTAGGCTCTACTGCTTCTCTTGCCTACCTACTTCCCCCAGTGACTTGCTGCATGGCAGCTCTGAAGGACAAATTCTCAAACGTGGATGTAACCTCTGGGTCTGTAAATAGGAAATGGGATGGATGTAAAAGGTGGACCCATAGCCGCAGCTTGTTTTTCACCTGTTTGTATCTTTCTTTATGACTTTTCTTCATTCCAAAAAGACATAAGGTGATTTACAGGGGTTATACAGCAACTAAGTATGCAACAAATGAGGAAATAAAGTAGAAGGGAAAAATAAGATGAAAGCAGGAGCAGGGCTGCTTCAGAGAACACTTGCACGACTTGGTGTCCAGTGTTGTCCAAGGTGGGCCGCTAGTCTGGCACCAAGAATCCCAGTACTCAAACAAAGAGGCAAAGAAGAGCAATCAGGATTCACGCTGTCCCTTACAGAGGGGAAGAGCAGTTACTGGGGCAGAACTTTCTGAGCTAAGTGACAACCTGCACACTTGTCTAGTACTGGCTGAGTTGTGCTGTGAACAGTGTCTGTGGCAATATTCCTGCTGTAAGAACAGTGGCAGTGGTTGACTCGGCAATTCTGCAAGAAGCAGGAGCCCTGTGCAGGTGTGATGTAAAGTAATGCAAAAAAATCCCATGAGGATTACTTCTTACATCCAGGCCTTTAGTAAGACTAGTGTTTAAAGGTAGAGGGGAGAGCCCATGGCAAGAATATAAACAGCAGAAATTTTGCATGGGTGATTTGAGATAAATGTACTCCCTTTATAGGCCCCCTGAGTGGGGCGATAGGATTAACATTTCTTTATTCAAATTAATCAACCAGTTCACTTGAAAGTACAGTCACACAGCCTCTACCTGGAGGCATCCTGAGGTGGACGTCCATAGGAAGGGTCATCCTTGGTGAATACCAACCAAGGACGAAAGGCAAAGGAAGGCCCTGCTGACTTACTTCCTGGTGTAAGGCAGTAAAAACATACACTGTAGGTGCTTTCAATCATCTTCCAACTAGGAAAAAATGAAGCCACTTTTAAAGGCCCATTGAATGTTGAATTTTAAATTTTGGCAATGCCTCCAAGAAGATGTGGATGAAAATACACTCTTAGGTGGTTTACCATGAGTGGTGTGTCTGCTAAGGGTTTTAGCATAGTTGGTTCCTTCAACCAACCACTCTTTTTAATAGTAGGACCTCCAAAATCATTATGCAGACATGGAACATAATCTAAAAACACTATTTGAGTCTCTCATTTTCCATTCCCTCCAGCTTAAACTCTTATTCCCGTATTTTATTTTCATGCCATTCTCTAAGTTGGCTGATAGGTATCAAGCCAGTTGAAGGTAGCAAACCTTTTAGACGAACATCCTCAAGCCCCGTATGTGCTTAACTTAACAGAGCATTCTGGCCTGTGAGGACTGTCTAAGAAAAGCAGAAAAGGGCAAAGATCTGTTCTCAAATTCTGCAGGGCTTTTGCCCTTCTGTTGTTTATCCAGTCTACGTATGGGGTGCAAGAACTATCGATGGTGCCGGCCATATGTGAAAACATGGGAGATATGAACTGGAATGGAATAGAGACCCACAGAATAGTTTTCAATCCAGATTGCAAAGTTGATGAGTCACACTAAAAAAATCTATACTATAAGATATAATGTACTACAAACTGTAAATACTGATAAAAAAGAAAATGCCACAAAGAAATTTAAGAGGGCATGGTACTGTCCTCTTTTGTCCCTAGTGTCTTCCTCTGTTCAGTTTAACACATTTATGTGCATCCGCCAAAAGCTGGACCCTGTGTGAGAGGTTGAGGGTAGCATGGGAATTAAGCATGGGTCTTGTCCTCAAATTTCTGCTTCTAGCAAGAGTCATTAAAGCTTTGTAAATGTGTCTGCTTGAGGCCAAGGACTTGGTCTTCATTTGACATGTTTTCATATGTTCCATCAAACCGCCCCATGCCCAGGATGAGAAAGAGCAAACACTTTCCAGGAAAGTTATCAACATTGAGACACAGCATCTGGAAGTTGGCAGGGTGCCCTCAGAAGGTTGGGGAAGTAATTTATTTTTCCAGTCTCGCCACAGGAACCAAAGCCATGGCAGATGCCTCTGTGTGTTAGTCGTGGCTGATCTGTGAGATCATTATTAATTATTAGTCACTTTTGAGTGTCTTTCTCAGAAACTGCAGAGTACGTTGGTAGCACAGGCCCTCTTGAGTTGCAATCAATACTGTATACACCTTGCAAGGGGACCTGAGTGGCAAGTAATTATAAAACAGTATTGATTCTTGGCAGAGGGGTGAAATGTATGAATCCCTCACATAAAAATCAGCTAAATCTTCAAAAGATTTTTTTCCCCCCTTAAGGAAGAGACAAATGGTTGGAGTAAAAAACTTGAAATGTTAGCTAAATTAGGGCTATTTCTTGCCAGGAGCCAGATCTGTACACATAATTATTTTATTCTCTGCCTTGGCACTGATTCACTTTAGTTGAGTGTTGGAAATATCTCTGTTTTGGGTCTGTAATCCAAATTATTCAGTCAGTTTCTCTGATGATGTTTTCTCCTTGTGTCCTCATGAATTATTTTTCTGTAAAACAAATAATTGCTTGTCTGCAACCAAGATGCCCCTGCTTTTTCTGCTTTTCTCTGTCACACTATCCAACATGCCCCTTGGCCATGAGCTATACCCACTGTCACATGCCTCATTGTCACCAAATTCTACCCATTTGATTTTGGCCTGTTTCTAAGTTCTCCTTCTAAATTGGCATCCACTCCAGTCCTCTTAGAGAGACTGGAAATCTCAATTGTTTTACTCTTTCTCCCTTTTGGCTTCATCTCCATCCTCAGCAATGAGGATGAACAAACTCAGCCTGCCTGTGCTGCATCACCAGTGCCCAATCATTTCACAGTAAGGCCTCACACTACTTTGCAGCTTCCAGTCTTGTCTCTTCCCAAAGCTGTTGGGAGCCCTTTGAAGATGCAAGTCTGGTCAAGTCATTTGGCTGCATGAAGCCAGTGACTCCCCATCGCCTACAATCTAAGATGGACAACAGTTGTCAATCTGGAAATGATAGATGTTGAGTCTCGAAAGACAGCTTATCTCCCCAGACTCAGGGGTTATTGGAAGACAGCAGATTTGGAGGGCCGCAGAGAAAGCTACAACAGGAAAGATTCCTCGGGGGCTTCTTGACATTTGGAGTGACTGTGGTTGGTTTAGCCAGGGCTATGGTGGACACAAAAGCTCTTTCCTACCCTGGCTATGCAGAATTGGCTTCAGTGTGATTCAGTTGTAGTCTAGTCTATTTCCTCACCTCATTCTTCCTCAGCCACTGTTATTGAAAATATGACAGGGAGTGGCCCCTGCTGTGTCCCCTCTGAACTTCATATTTGCGGAAGAAGAAATTCCAATGCCAGTATAAGGATCTGACACAAAGGGTCTACAGCCCTTCTGAAAATGGGTGCTATGGACGTGTTGTGTGGGGAAATACTTCGTACTGTGTGAAGATCCTATACATTGCAGGACATTTGCCATTTCTGGCCTCTCATGCTAAATGGCAGTCATGCTCCCCCCGCCCCCAGTCATTGAGACAACCAGAAAAAAGTCCCTCACATCCCAAAATGGTTCCAAATGCTCCAGAAATGAAGTAATGGCATTAATCCTACGTGAGAGCCATCAGCTTCTATAACCACTTGACTGGAACGTCTCCTCAAATCTTTCCTGAGAGTCAAATGAAGTGACCCTTCTGTCACTCCTTTTGCCCCTTAGTCTGGTGTAATGATGGAGGTTAGATGCTGGAGTCAAAATGCTGGCTTTGACATCATTGCTGGGTATGACCTTGAAGAGGGGCGTGACCTTGAACAATTAAGCTCTTCAGTTTTCTCATGCAAAATGGGAATGATAACACCTACTTCAGAAGGCAGTGTCTATTGCCAGGGGCATGGTACGTGTTTGAGGTGATGAGGAAGATGATCTTAGAACAGTTCCTGACTTAGAGTCTTTCTTCTCTGAGGGAGAAGTTGAAGTAGACACTTACAAATGAATACTCCTGACAAGAAAGGCAACTTTGTGCATGAGAAAGGGTTGTGGCCTTGGTGAGAGTAAGTTCTCTTCACTTTCAGCCACTAATTACTGTGTGGCCTTGCATGTCACTTCATTTCTCTGATATTCTTAAGCTTCTCCATCTATGAACTTTGTGTCACCTGGTGGCAACATGATTGAAGGACGCCAGCATTGTGAAGTAATCTCAGAAATCATTTGATATGTAATAAATAGCCTATTAAGCATTGATGTTTCCCACCTCTGGTTTGAAAATTCCCACCTGCCTCTGGGGAAGCACATGCCACAGGAGCTTCCTGGTGAAAATCCACTTGCATAGTAAATGGCAGGGTGTTCTGCAGGACCCAGAATCTCTCCCCGTCACCCCCTTGCTGCCCATGTGCCCCCTACAGCCCAAGAGAGAAAGCCTTGAGCTTTTAGGCATCTCTCCTTGCAGCTCACATCTGTAGCCAGGCAGCTCTCCTTGCTGCTTTCCTCACACCCTTCCATCTGACCCCATGTCCACTGTCTTCATGGTTGTCTGCTTGCTGCCCCACAGCAACAAAGGCGAGAGAAGGAGCTGCGGAAGCAGCAGGAGAGGGAGCAGCGCAGGCACTTCGAGGAGCAGATGCGCCGGGAGGAGGAGAGGAGGCGCGCGGAGCACGAGCAGGTAGAAAGGGTGCGGGGCCACGCACAGCCCCGCCATGAACTCCAACACGAGGCGGGGATAGGGTGTGGGTTACTTTCTCTTAGGACTGCGCTGTTAAGGTTTTCTTTCGCAAGCAACTATTCTCACCTATTCAAAAAGTCAAACGCACAAAGTGGGCAATGCCTTTCCTTCAGCCTTGCTTCTGATCCAGGCCAGAGTCCCCTGAAGTGACTGATCTGACTCCCCAACCCTGGGTACCTGATTTGAAGTAACACTGAAGCGTGGGAAGCGAACTAAGTCCTACCCTTCCATGGCTTCAGAAGAACTTTGCACTCCAGCAATCTCTTGGTCTCTGTGACTTTGAGCCATTGATATGGGCCGGTCTCATGGCTAGAATCACCTGCTGACAGCAAGTGAAACTGCTGGTGGTTCCATTGCAGACAGTGCTTGGTGACATTCCACAACTATTTTATCCCTGCTGCTTGCACAGGGGCCTTGGACCTTTGCAGCACTGTTAATTCCAGGTAGTCCATAAAGAGAGGAGCCTATAACGAAAGCTTTAAAATGTAGCTGGGTTTATTAAAGCCATGTAGTAACAGGTAAATGCTGAGCCGAGCCACCTGTCTGCCGCTGTGGGACTTGTGCCTTTGACTCCATTGAAAGGCTTGGCTTTGGTGTGGCCTTCTGATTGGTGAAGAGGTGGCCTGGGTGTTTTTTTTGTTTGTTTGTTTTGCTTTTGGTTTTTTCCCCTTCCTTCCTCTGCACTTTACTTGGTGGCTCTTATCATCTTTGGAATTACTGGTTCTTTTTCTCTCTCTTTCTCTCTTTCTGTTCCTCCGACTTCTCTGCTGCTGACCTCTGCAGGAATACATCAGGCGACAGTTAGAGGAGGAGCAGAGACAGTTAGAGATCTTACAGCAGCAGCTACTGCACGAGCAAGCTCTACTTCTGGTAACGGGAAAGCCATGAGTCTGCTGACCCTCACCTGCTGTGTTCACCATGTGTGTGTGTGTGTGTGTGTGTGTGTGTGTGTGTGTGTGTGTCCCCTCCTCCTAACATGCTAATTCCAAAGCTGGGGTTCTCTGAGCCTCATGGGACCGCAAAATCTCATAGAAACTTACCACATTTCCTGACCCAATTTACCAAGTCCTAATACATTTATTATAGTTGTTATGCATTCTTGATTAGCTCCATCTATTTGTGGAACTTTAGCATGAATCCAGCCTTATTATAAGTTCAGACTGCTTTTGAGACCCATGGTGTTTATTGCAGAGTAATTTTTAAGGCCATTTGCAACATGCTGGAATACAGTCACAGCAAAATGCACCTCTTCCATAAGAACCCACTCGGCTCTGCAGTCGTATTTCATTTGCAGACTATTAGTGTTAGCCTTACGATGGGAACATTTTGTGCTCCCTGCTCATGTGGCGTCCACTTGAAGTACCTTTTTTTTTATTAATATTGCATTGCTCTCCAAATGGGCTTCTTGGTGTATCTTTTTTTTAACTGAACTTTTTATTCAAAGGCATTCTGATATTTTTTTTTCGCCTGTACCGTACATAAGCTTGCTAATGGCTTTTGTTGGCCTAAGTTTTATTAAACAAAAGATGATTTGGGTACTGTCTGTGGCTGTTTATTTAGTTTTATACTTAATTATACATGTTTGAATTATTTAATTACTAAATTAGGAAGGAAATGCTCCTTATAGGGTTGTGTGATAACCATCCAAATGTCCTCATTATCACCATTTTTTCAGCTGCAATTCATCAGGGACAAGTCACTTGGCAAGTAGTGGTGTTCTGTAGTGATTGCCATTAAAGCAGTAGTGTTTTCATTAAATGACACGTTCTTTCATGGATACTAACACCAGGTGGGAGTTTATTTCTGTGCACACCCTGACATCCACTTGTACTTCTGTTAGTATGTGAGGTCTTTTGCTACTTGGTGCCATTTTGTCTCCACTGCATGCTTCTCTGTACTACCCAATGGTTTCCTGGTAGTAATGTGGCCTTTACTTTGCTTCTCCTTCCTGATCTGGGCAGGAATATAAGCGCAAACAATTGGAAGAACAGAGACAAGCAGAAAGGCTGCAGAGACAACTTAAGCAAGAGAGAGACTATTTGGTTTCCCTTCAGCATCAGCGGCAGGAGCAGAGGCCCATAGAGAAGAAGCCACTGTACCATTACAAGGAGGGGATGAGTCCCAGTGAGAAGCCAGCATGGGCCAAGGAGGTAAGTAAGCAAGAGTGGCCACATGCTGTCAACCAGACTTTCCATTGTGAGTTCATCGAGTAGGAAATGCAGAGTTCAGCCAGTGTGGCAAAGTCAGAAGACAGTTCATTGAAAGACCCATGCTTTCATGATAAAAGCAAAAACACACAAGGGAGGTATGAGGATAGGTAAGACACCTAAAAAATTAGTTAGCATTTGTTGCCCTCAACGCAGAGAAACTAATGCAGATACTTTAAAGTGACTGAGGCCAATAGGAGAAGGGGACCAGGAACTAGAGAAAAGGTGAGATCAAAAAGAATTAACCTAGAAGGTAACACACATGCACAGCAAATTAATGTGAGTCAACTCCCTGTATAGCTATCCTTATCTCAACTAGCAAAAATCCTTGTTCCTTCCTATTATTGCTTATACTCTCTCTTCAACAAAATTAGAGATAAGGGCAAAATAGTTTCTGCCAGGTATCGAGGGGGTGGGGGGAAGAGGGAGGGGGCGGAGTGGGTGGTAAGGGAGGGAGTGGGGGCAGGGGGGAGAAATGACCCAAGCATTGTATGCACATATGAATAATAAAACAATAAAAATTTTTTAAAAATTAAATTAAATAAAGGAATACTGCCTACCAAAAAAAAAAAAAGAAAAAGAAAGACCCATGCTTTGCTTCTGGAAGAACTACAATGCCATTTCTGTAGAGAAATAGCAAAGCACCACTTAGTCTACTTGTGGTTCTTGTGTGTGTGTCTTTGTGGATATGGTGGACTTTTGTAGGCAACAACAGGAAGTAGAGAAATCCCTTCCCTTATATGAATCCAGTTGAATTTGTGGCATGAAGATTTTCAGTGTCTTTTCTTTAGAAGAATGTGAGTTAGGACTTAGGGGATTCTGGGAGAATCATCTCCTGGACCCTGTTACTAGTCATGCACTTTAGTGCTAAATTACCTTGTTCACTGTGGTGCCCACAGCTGCACAGTGGGACTCAGGCTTGTGACTGTGGTATGCACTTTTAGGACCCAGTCACTTGTATTTCACAAATACTTCCAAAGTAATGGTCCTTCATTCAACCATTAGACTAAGAGAGGATTTTCAGGAACTTGGCTCTGTGATAAACTAATTTAAACATCTAACTAAAAACTATTTAGATGGGAGGAAAAAAAAGAGTGATAACCAAACAAAATAGTAAGAGATAACCAAACAAAATAGTAATAGCCAAGAGAGTCTCTGTCAGCTCATGTATGTGACCCTGATTCAGTCCTGTCATTATTTGTGACACCTAGTGATTTTCTTTACTTCCTTGTGAGCATAGCTAGTCATTTAAAAGAATGTTTTGGGCTATTTTGTATTTTTATCTAGCTTCTTTAGGTATTTATATCTAATGCTTTTTTCCAGTTATCTAGACTACAATATTACCAGAAGCAGATTTCTTAGATAAGATCCTATCTTTATGAAAACATTTCTTTTAATTTTTCAAACTATTTTACATATGTACAGAAAATGCTTAAATGATACTGTCTTAATGTTAATTATGGTGGCTTATGAGAGTTAGAAAGAATTGATTGCTTTCCTTTAAACTTTCTGTGACTTTTTGTATTATTTAAATCCTTTAAAATGATCATGCACTGTTATAATGAAAATAACTTTTTCCTTTTAAAACTTAAGAAAAATAAATCTGTAGCGATAATTGTTTTGATGTGTGACGAAGAACTTTTTTGATCATTTTCCCTTACGTCTGTAAATATGATCCATAATTACCTCCATAACAGCTGCTCTTTCTCTTAGATCAATAATTCATTTTGTGATTCTACTCCCAGGTACAGCAATGAACACTTAATAGTCCCTCTGTTCTTCCAGCTAAGCAGAATCACTATGCTGTTAAACAGCAACTGATGTGCTTTCCAGCTGGCAAAAGTGTTCCATCTTCCACCAGACAGAAAGAACTATCTATGTTCCCAAGACTTAGAGTGCGTGATTGTATTTTAGAAGAAAGATTTAATATTTAGGTAGCAAAAGGAGTGACAGTGCTAATTTTGAGATTGGAATAACTTGTATAAATTAAAACAACTAATTATCTACATTGGTTTGATTTATCATTTTTAACATCTACTTCTTAAATTGGGCATAAAGATAAGTGTGAGGATCCATCTTCTTATCTTTCAGTGCTTATCAGCATACTGCAAACTTTTCTTCTGAAGCATTATTTACAGAACTCTTTTCTTATACTAGGGAGGAAGGTAAGGCTTAGAGTAGCCAAACAGTAACCTACATTTCAATACTTTGCATATGAACAGAATTTATAGCTTATCAGTATCTTAACGATCAACTGTTTGAAAGGAAAAAAACTGAGTTAAACACTCCTGAAATTAGAATAAGGAGGTACCATTGCCTTTTTCAAATGTAGCCTCTGATACAACATAAATTTGGAAGCATCCTCACTAGGGTAGAGTGGGAGGCTATGCCTATGCCAATGTGTCCTGTGACACAGGTGATGTTTGTGGCCAGTGTGCTGAGGAAGATGCTCTCCGCCATCTTCTACTCCAGCCTTTGTTTCCTAATTCAACTCTGGACGTTCTTGTCCAGGTCTTTGTTCCTTCTTTGATTGCTCTTCCATCTGCATTTTCTCTTCCATCTGCTTTTTATCTTCCTCATTCCAAATCAATAATTTTTCATCAACAGTGTGATGTAATGCTTTATCCTCTGTGTTTTTGTCTCTTCATTTTATAAAGCAGACGTGTTCACTGCACTTCCTGTGACCGTTCTCATTCATCTGTTGGATGCAATAAGAACAAATGAAAATGCTCAATCATTTGTAAATCTTTTTTTGAGCTCTTCCTTCCCTTCTTCGACTATTCTATCTAGCTTAGATGTTGCATTGGCTTTGATTTTCAAATTTCAGCCATAAAAGAACATAAATGTCTCTTAATTAAAGAATGGGGAAGCATGCTCACCCCTTTCATTTTCTCTACCATTTCTGATTGGGATGAAATAGTATTTGTCCAGTGAAAGCATCAGTGTGATATTCTGTTGACTGTCAGCATAATTTGAAGGTCTTTTTCTCACTTTTTGAATGATAGGGATTCCTTTTTCTTTCTCCTGTACCTTAAAATGGCATATTACTATCTGGGCCTGACTATAACTCTGTGCATTCACATCATTTACCACCCCACTTACTTTAAAAAAAAAAAATTGCCCCAGCACTTAGCAGTGACAGAATGCTCTGTTTATATCAATATTGCCTAAGATTGTATTTTAACTTTTTAATACGCCATCCTGCTCTCTCTCTGCAGTGCATATAGTTATCTGGCTGTAGTTTTACTTGGTAAACAATAATCCTATCAGAGCAAAGATATCTCTTTATTTTCCATTGGCCCATTGGACTTTGAAACCCCTGTATATAAAAACTCTTCTGTTCAAATTTCTATGCTCTGCATGAGTAGTTTTTTTTTCTCTTTTTTGTGCAAGTTTCTTTATATATAAAGTTCTCAAGTTTAGAGACTTTTCAGTTTTCCTATCATTGCTCAATTTCTGCCTGTGTTTCTTAAGATTTAATGTAAAAGAAAACTGGAAGGAAATAGTCAGGATATATTTGAGTTCAGGTCCTCTCACTTTCTGTTTTGCAGTCAAATTTCTTTGGACAAACTACAAACCATAAAATTTCAGTACTTCGGACCCATCCTGAAATAATTTGGGGAGAGTAACAGCTGGTTACACCATGTATTTTAGAATGTTACAGACCAAGACATACTAATGGTAGAATTTAGAATGTGAACTAATTAAGAGAAAGCATAGGGAATGTTTCTGGAGTACATTAGTAACATCTATGCACAGTTAACCAAGGCTACTAATTGCCTATGAAAATCAGTACCCTGATTTCGGTCTGTTCATTTCTGATGACAACTTCAGAGCCCCATATGGCCTATGGCTCTATGATTTGCATGAATGCTTGCTTACTAAAATCTTTTTGCTAGCAGTTGCCAAAAGAATTCTTTATGTCAAGAAAGATTTCTCAGGGATGGAGATGTACCTCAATAGTAGAGCACTTGCCTAGCATGCACAAGGCTCTGGATTCCATCTCTAGCAGCACAAATAATAAAAGGATTTCTGGAGTCTTTATGGCAGACTTGTCTACTATTTTTTTAATATCCCATCTCTTAGTGTATATTTAAAGCTGAGTGTATTTTGCAGTTAAAAACTAGTAATGATTATGTGTATTCTTCACTCTCTGAACATATTTGTTTCCTGATTTTGGGATAATAGGAAGCTAGAGAGTTTATCTGAAATTTGATCTCTTGAGTTCCTGACCTCAGGCATTGATGGTTTAGACAGTGGGAGTTCAGATAGTGAGGGGTGATTACATATGTCATTTTTATATTAAAAATATTCCCTGAAAACAAGAAAATGGCTGATATTTGACCAATTCTCCTGGTCTACAATTCACTTTGTTTTCAGAGTCTGCATTTGGAAAGTGGTATGCTGCATGCGTGGTCTTGGTTTATCAGTTGCAGCCTTTGCAGGGCTTTCTCATCTTTTTGGCCTTATCTCAAAGCTGGCTTTGTTCTTTTGCTCAATGCAATAGCCAAATAATTATTGCTGATGTCATATTTCGCACACGTACACACACAAAGTGTACACATTGTTTGTATTTCTTACCTTTTGCAGCTAATTTAGTTAGTATGTGCTGAGTTTCTGGAATATGGAATTTCAAAACTAAAGTCAACTGTATAACATTTGTATATACCCTGCACAGCCATGGTGGGGGAGGAGATGTTCAAATTACCCCTCAGTAGAAGCAGGAGAGATGTTTTCTATTCTGTAACTTATCTTATCATGTTTGAGTATTTGAGGTTAATGTGGCAGTTTATTATTCAAGTTTTCTTGGTAGCACTGGGTTTTGAACTCAGGGCCTCACACTTACTAGGCAGGTGCTCTTACCACTTGAGCCACTCCACCAGCCCTAATGTAACAGTTTACAAAAAAAAACCCAGAATTACTCTACACAGGAGACTGCACCTTCCTCTAGAAAAACTCAACATGGGGTAGGGAGGATAGGAAAGAATAATGCTTTTGAATTTTTATTTCAAATAAAGCAGTAAAATGAGTGAGAACAATAAAAACTCTTCACTGCTACATAAAAATATGCAGACAGACCTGAATATTGAGTCTTCAGAAGAGAATTGAGAGCTTACTCTGATGGGTCATTTGGGGGAGGAGTAGGTGAGTAGCTGCATTGCCCTGGCAGGTTTGGGAAGCACCACAGTCAAGTTGACCCTAAAGAAATATAGGATAGGACAAGACGGATTTAGAAGAAAAGTTATAGACTTGTTGGAGTTGTCTAAGGTCTTCCATCATGTCTCTTGGTGTACATCTTGTTGATCTACATTTCTCTTTAAAATTGTCCTTGACTACATTCCATCTGCTGTAAATATGTACTGATGGAAATCTTACCTGTTTAAAAAGTACTGGTACCCACAGGTATTGTGAACCTCCCTGTGAAGGACTTGAGATCAATTACGTGCTCTGAGCTGAGCCCCTGGAAGATAAAGAAATTAAATGGTCTGAGAGGAGAGAGAGCTGGAGAGAGAGAAGAGGGGAAGCAGAATGAATGCCACATGTGGTGAGGAGGGGTAAAATGGAAGAGCAAGGCAGTGGACTCTAAGCTGGGAATGGAAAGACTGAGGAGGAGCAGTGTATTTTAGGGAACCAGGAAAGACAATAGAAAAGAAAGAACCCTAAAGAGAGGAAAAGAAAATGATACAGAAAGTGCGTGTAAGATAGGCCTTGTTCATTAAACAGGCAGCCTGGAACGCCCAACGTGCCTATCTGGAGAAGTGAAGAAGGGTAGGGACTGTGCCACAATGTCCCCTCCTGTCAGCCTTCCCTGTGGCTCTTCCCTCTCTGTCCCATGAGTCAACCCAAAGCAAGCTTTGTTTCTCCCAGGCAGTCTTAATGCCTGCTGCAGATCCCTTTGACTTTCTCCCTGGCTGACCCCTCAGCTTTGTGACCAGTCAACAAGATATTATATCAATCAATGCAAGATAAACTCTTAGCAAGCCCCAAATTCCCAGCCAAATGAAATAACACAAGATAATGGGGAATGGAAGGGGAATGGCTCAAGTGTAATGGCATTTTTTGTTCTTATTGGTTAGTGTTTGCTCTAATACAGGAGTATGGTGAGCTTTTTGCAAACTCCTGCAAATTTTCAGAGCAGAAAATTTGAACTTTTTGACCTGATCAGAGGACATAAAAAATGGCTGTGCAGAAAATCCTTACCAGGAAATAAATTTACTTCTATCCACTGAGGCTCTCTTTTCTCTTTTTCTTTGGTTTCTAGGTAGAAGAACGGTCAAGGCTCAACCGGCAGAGTTCACCAGCCATGCCTCACAAGGTTGCCAACAGGATATCTGACCCTAACCTGCCCCCAAGGTCGGAGTCCTTCAGCATTAGTGGAGTTCAGCCTGCTCGGACACCCCCTATGCTTAGGCCTGTAGACCCCCAGGTACAACTTCTCCTTTGTTTCACTACCAGTAGAGTGCACAATAAAACTTCTTAAATCCTAGGGAATTGTCACATTGACTCATCAAATGACAACCCTTAATAGAATTCATAGTAATATAAGAAGTCCTCTGAATTTGAAGGGTAGAGGAAAGGGTGAGAAATAAAAACACGACCCTTAACTGTGAATTAAGTACAAAGTAACTTCTTGATAAACTGGCTACCTTGGGGACACCTAGGAATTTCTTCAGGATGGGGACAGCCATTCTTTTAGTTATAATTACCAAAATTAAAATTTTTTGTAGACTTTTGTATACCATGTATGTATTTTGTTCCTTGGAACTTGGGCTGGAGACTAAAACTGGAAAAATTAAATTGACTTGGTTAAGTAAAATCGTGCCTTCTAAGCCCATGGTTCTCCATTGTGGTACTAGAAGCATCAGCATCCATGAACCCGCTAGAAATGCAGACTCTTGGGCTCACTTCAGACCTGCTGACCAGCAACTCAGTGAGGGGCCTTGAAGTCTGATTTTAAGCCTTTCTGGTGACTTGCTGCAGTTTATAGTCTGAGAACCACTGTCAAAAACTAGTGAGTAAGGAAAAGAGATTATTTCACTTTTAGGAAAAGAGGAAGTTTCAGGAAGTTCTGCAGGACTTTTAAATTAGAAATATCAAAAATGAAATATAAAGTGTGGAATTCCGTGAAAAAAATGAAGGCAATGCAGCTTTTTTCACCCATACACCCTGTATGTCTTTCAGGCATCCACCTCTGTTAAGACTTCCACAGCGTATTTTGAGGTCTCTTTTGGAAAATGTAATGCTGTTGGAACTGGAGTTTAAAAGAGTAGTGATACAATCAAGTATTATTTGTGTTTTAAGTTGACCTCTGTTAAATGAATTCCAAGATTTTTCAGCACCAGCCAACTCGACGTACCTTCCCCTTGGTTGTTTTCATTTATGTACAAGTCTTCTGTGCCAACCCTTCAAAAGGACAGATTTTAGAGGACTTTCTCTTTTAACTCACAAACATCCTTTTGAAAAACCTAACTTTGACCTTATGGGGTATTTTTTCCTGTAAAAGGGATTTACTTTTTGAAAGTGAGCAGGGAATGAAAATGCAGCTGTCCCGTGACAACTAATAGGTTAAGCATTCTTTAGCTGCTTCAGTTTTCATTTTTATTATTTATTTTCTGGCTTTCTTAAACTAGTCCTTTGTTTTGTACTAGCTATTTTAATGTGCTTTGTTTAGATTTTCTTTAATATCTTTCCCAATACTTAGTATTACTATAAACTTGATGTGTTCTGTTCTGGTTGAGGCATAACATTTAGAGAACTGGACTTTGGGGACTTTTCTCTGAATTGGCATTAATAGCAGTCTAACTGAAATTGCAGACCAAAGAGAGTTTCACAGGTGTTTGTAAAAAGCAGATGCTAAATTAATGCTTGTTTAATTTAGAAAGCACTCTAGATTTATTTTCCCAGTCGAGATTTATTGAATACCTCTCTCAGGCCCATCACAGAGCAAGACTTGGGATCCTATAATGAATATGACAAATAATGAGCCACTTCTGTTTCCAGGGAGCTCAGCTTCCTGAAGTAGAAAGACAGGCTTACAGAGTGAACAGACATGAAAGTGTGAGCAGTGCTATGGGGAAGGGGTACCTTGTACCCTGGATTTTAATGATTTCTCTTAAAGGCCCAAAATTTTACTGTAAGCATGCATATTTTCCCTGCAAGAACAATTTCCCTACATACCCAATTGTGAGAATTAAAATTCTACAAGAAATGTCCTGGTGTCGAGAGATAGTTGACACCATCAATGGTAAGAGCCAGTACCACAGAAGCCAGGACACTAGAGAGGTTAGGTGTAGGGCTGTGGGCATAGGAGGCCAGGCCAGGGTTCTTCCAGTGCAGGCTCCAGCACACATCACCTGTGAAATCTAGTGTGTGGTCAGCCTCTCTGCACCTCTCATACCTTACTCGTGTGTAAAAAGAGGGCAGTGGTTATGTCTACCTCATGGTCAACTCAGCTATTTCCCAACAAGTAAGGTATTTGGAGAAGTTCTTGTTTTACAGAGTAACTATATGCTCTCAAGTCAAAGTTAGGGATTTTAAAGGAGGAAGGACATAATAGTACATAATACTAGAAGAGAAGTGCTTACAAAATATATTGCTGATCAATAAACATTCATTAAGTATAGTTACTGTTAGTATCATCACATGATTCTTAGCAGTTCCAAGTAAACCATTTAACTTGTTGCCAGGAACCCTGGTTCAGCACAATGCATTGAACTACATGGACGATTCTGGAGAGCTCCTAAAAGCATGCTATAGATAATGATGATGGACTCTGTAGTCCAGTTCTTGGGCTCAGAACTTTTTCCCCTTCAACTGACTGAGGTGCTAGTGAATCTGCTTTACTTTTAATAATGCTGTTCCATTGTTGGTTTGTGCCTAGATCCCACAGCTGGTAGCTGTAAAATCCCAGGGACCTGCCTTGACTGCCTCCCAGTCAGTGCATGAACAGCCCACAAAGGGCCTGTCTGGGTTTCAGGAGGCTCTGAACGTGACCTCTCACCGCGTCGAGATGCCACGCCAGAACTCGGATCCCACCTCCGAAAACCCTCCTCTCCCCACTCGCATTGAGAAGTTTGACAGAAGCTCTTGGTTACGACAGGAAGAAGACATTCCACCAAAGGTAGTATTACTGGCGTGCTTTTATCGCCACCACCACCATCATCATCATTGTTATTATTTGTTACCCTCCCTATTCTGGACCTTTCAAAGGAATGAAGAATATGGTAATGCCACACATCTACTCTTTTCACATTTGTCTTTGTCCCTCCTCCTTCCCAAGCTTAAGCTTGGGTTATCATTTATCATTTCTGATCTTTGTTTCCCCAAAGGAACTGAGTTTGAATGATTGGGAAGTATATATCTTGCCTCCAGAATTAGAACCTTAAGCATTCAGACTATTTTACTATTCATTAAAAAAAATAGAATAATGGATATTTTTTTGAAAATAAATCTACACCTGGACAAATTGAAAACTCCCAGATGAAAAGTAGAAAGTTCATTTATTCTTAAATTTAACAATATAAAATGAAACTAGATTTCAGGGGTTCAAAGATAGTATATTGCCCTTAGGACATTTTAATTGGCTTTACTTAAGGACCACTCCTTCTAAGCTAAGTCATAAATCACTTTCAGCCTAAATTAATTACTGATGATTAAACTTTAGGGTAAAATGACCAGCCTACCTACTGCACAGAATAGTTCTGAGTTCAAGTCCTCTTTTGTCTTAAACTAAGTCTTTACTGTTTAAGAAATCTTCTAAAATATAGCCAAACATCTGGCTATAAGCAACCTGGATGTCTGCAAAATACTGAAGAATTTTTTAATTAGATTCTTTTATATTAAGGAATTCCCTTAATATAGGGAATTCAGCATAGGAAGCTGGGACATGATTTCCAGGAAACAATGCTATTATTAATTCCAGAAAAAAGTAATATTTTAATGACTTAAAAATGCTCTTCATTTTCCTCTCAAAGGGGTGTTAGAGTCAGATTTCTATTATTTTGATGATGAAAACAGCTGATAATAAATTGCTTTTTTGTTAGTGTCCCTCTGTGCAAGCAGAACTGCCATCAACACAGGTTATTAAGAGCAGAGTTCAATGGGAAAAATAAGATATGCGTAAGAGCTGTTGTTCTACCTCTGAAAACATACAGAAATGCATAAGTAAAGCAGAGAAGAAACTTTAAGACAGTTTAAGGTTCAGGTTTTAATAATTCATTGGGCTCTTTCTTCTCTACAAATATTTATGTTTACAAAAAAAGAAGAAAAATAGCAGTAGTAATATTTAGTTTGAACAGGTGGTGGTAGCACCAGTTTGGTGCTATTTCACCTCCTGCATCATCTTTAAAATGAATTATAATAAAATTAATTTTTCAAAACAGATAAAGGATGGCACCTTACATTGAAGTAATTTTCTGTACTAGGATTCATAGTGTGATTCTTTTAAGTAATGGACTCTTTGGTACACATATCTGATTTCATAAGAAAGTGTCTATATGCTTCATAAAAGATATTCTACCTTGGGCTTTTCCAGATAAGCTAATAATACATCTTCCTACTATACCTCAAACTCTTACTGGTATTCACACAGGCTTTTTGAAGACATTTCTAATATTTTCGGTATCAATCTTGTTTTATATTACATTGACTAATCTTCCAAAACACGTTATTTTTAGTTGGGGGTTTTAATTAGTAATTGCAAGTTAGTCAGTAAATGCAAACATCTAGATGCTTCCATACTAGACTACTAGTAGATTATCTAAGTTCACCAACATTTGACTCATTTGTCCCAAGTTCTAGCCTGATATCCCAATTTCTCAGCAGATTTCATAATCTATTTATTAACTGTGATGTGAGCTAAGAATGAAATTTAGCTTTCACTGGGTGGTTCTTATCTGCTACAGATTCCAAAGAGGTTATGGGACCCCAAAGAAGTTCCTGATGTCTACCAATCTTGCCTCACCCCTGCAAGAGAAGTTATAACTTCAATAAGCCATAACTGTCAGCTTAATCTGTCTTTATTTTTTCAGATCCCAATGGCCCTCCCTAGCGGTTGCTGGATGTGCCTCATTGACATCGCCTTTTGCCAGTACACTCTCAGTGAATTTTGTTTTGGGCGTTTAATATTTCTCTGAAGAATGAAAGATTGGTCTTTCATTTATCACATAGTTTCTGTAACTTCTGGCAAACGTTGGCAAATGAATAGGCTCTTCAGGTAGTAGCTGAAGGGAATACAGAAGCTGTTTTATGGAAAATATTTCTCAATTCTGTTTTCTTTCCAGGTGCCTCAAAGAACAACTTCTATATCCCCAGCATTAGCCAGAAAGAGTTCTCCTGGTAACGGTAGTGCTTTGGGACCCAGACTAGGATCTCAACCCATCAGAGCAAGGTAAGGGGAGGAAAGTGGCCAAGGGGAAAAAAGGAGTTGCCCTCATCATCATTATTGCTTTCCTAAGAAAAGTCTGTTCTTTTGTCACATCAGAAGCATGTTGACTTGCCACCTGTACTGTCACCTTTGGTGGGGCAGAATACATGCCTCCTATGACTTCAGTCACTTTTAGAAGTCAGTGTTGAGTGGAGGGCTTATGAATGAATGAGTTAATGATAAATGAACATGACAACCCAGAAGCCAATTGAGTGAACCTCTTAACTGACCATTCCTAAAATTTGCAAAACTTACAAATATGAATCTGGTTGCAATACCCCAAACCATGACTTCAGCCACCATTTTATAGAGTCAGTAAAACAAAATGGGCTTTGGGGAGGTGATTTTTAGCATTAGGTCATGAAATGTGCCCTGGCCACCACTGAGACATTAAAAAGCAACTGCCAAGGAGATAGTGGCAGAGCGTCTCTTGCTTACAATTACAGAAGAACCAACTCCAATGAGGAAATTTTCTCTGTGGCATTTTGGAAATCTCTGAAATACATCTCTGCTTCCATGGCTGTTCACTGTTCTCCCAGAATTTTCCATCAACAATGCATGTACAGTCAGGAAGTTGTATGCACTCCACCGATTAGTACAGAGGTCTCAAGAGAAGCTGGAAAGTAAACAGCATCCTTACAGTATCTGAGCAGATTTTGTGTGGTAACAGATGGTGCTGTCGTTCATCAAGCGTCCCTCAGATTTTTCATGATGAATACATTCCTTTTAGGAGCCAATGAAATAGCAAGTGACCTCTGCTGAAGCTATTAAAAAAAAGATGAACTTGAGCAGGCTGTTTTCTTCTCCTTCACTGTGTTCACAAGAGAAAGACCCTCCTTTGTGTGGGGGTAGTGGAGAGAGAAAGAGAGAGAGAGACTAGAAAATGAAGCTTGTGGTCATTTGTACTTATCTTTCAAATATGGAGTGTTTTTTACTTTCATGCTTTAATTATCCTCTTCACATAAAAAGCCTTAGGAAGGGGTCAGTCCATAAATAAACTGGAACTATACTAAGAACAAGAATCCCTTTAGGTCAAAGATACTGCCCATTCTGAGTGGAATTACCAACTGCAGGAGGCTCTGAATGAGCCATTTTTTTTCCAGTGACTCATCAGGCTCACACCAAGCTGGTGTTGCTAAGCAGCACTGAGGAAGACCGGAAGTCACTGTGACCAGGGAGCCATGGGAAGACTAGCACAGGATTGCCAGCTGAACTTTATCAATCCCCCTCCTCCAATTACCAGCACTTCTTGTTCTTTTGATCCCTGCCCTCAGGGCTCTGTGCATTAGATCAGTTGCTTAAAATTGTAGTTGCTTAGATCAAGTATTATCCCAACTTTAAGTATTTTTTCTTCTGTCAACAAAAAAGAAAGAATGCTCATTATATAGCCAAAGAAAGAACTGCTTTTTATTACCTCTGAAGTGCTATTTTAATGACATTAGGGCCTAAGATAATGGGTATTCAGTGATCATGGCTTATAAATTATGAACTTCACCCTTAGAACCACTTAATAGTGTATTTTGTCCAAAGAATGCAGACTTTGTGAGAGGCAGCTAACATTTTTCTATTTACAGAGGTAGAGAGGAAGTGAGCTAAGAGGTAATGATTATTTACCTATAATGAAAGTCAGAAAGATTAGGGGTGGAGAATCCCATGTCTAGATGTGGGACAATCCTACAGCACACCCTGGTTTCTTACTGGCATGTATCTCCATGTGACCGCATTTGAAATGGGAATCAGACTTCATAGTTCCAGATTGGTTTGCATTTTTATAAGCTTCAAGATTTGATTTACTGGATAGAGACAGCTTTCATTGGCCTTTATTGGGGAATAAATCACCCCAAAACCTAGTGGCCTGAAACAGTAATAGTGTGTTACTTTTCATGATTTTGTGGGCTGGCTAAGAAGTTCCCTACTGGTCTCAGTTGCACTGAGCTGATGGGTGGACTGTACCTCTACCTCTTCAAGGTCTTTCATTCCTGGGCTTCTTTATCCTTTGGCCCTTTCAGAAATCCATTTCAAGAGAAAGAAGCATCAATGCACAGCACTTTTGAACCTTCTACTTACATCATCTTTGTTGATGTCACACTGGCTATGGGACTTCCATGGCCAACCCGTGTTGTGGAAAGGAGCTACAGAGGAATGTGGACACTAGGCGATACAATTAGCTGGGGCCATCACCGTAGCACACACAGCCTCTCCTACGTCCTCATAATTCTTTTTTGTGCCATTTGTCAGACAATCACTCATCCACAAAGCTATTAAAAAGAGGTTGCTTTTAAATAATTTGTTCTTTACAATAACTTCTAAGCTACTTGGCCAATATTCCTTTTTTTCTTCCCATCCTTTTCTTTGAAGTGATTCTCAAGGCTAGAACTAGCAAAGTTAAAATTGATTCCACAGCTAATAAAGAACAGATTTAGGATGTTGTATATTATTTTTAATTCGTTTACTAAATTCAGCTAATATATGTTAAGGATGTGCTGTGTGGGGGGCTGTATGTGGCCTTAGGATCCTGTAACTCCAACCAAGACTGCCTGGCTCCAGGACCCATAGTTCAAATTACACCTGCTATTCGCTATTCATTGTGGAGCAGATGTCACTGGAGCAAAAGTTATATTTCTCACATCAATTTCTTATTTTGTTTTGGGGCAAATTTGTAAATTAACTGAAAGAAAGCAGAAGCAAAACCTGGTATTTCATGCCTATAATCCCAGCTACTAGGTACATAGGCATGTTGCAGTCTGAGACTGGCCCAGGCAAAAGCGGTAGATTGATCATGTCTAAAAAATAAACTAAGAGCAAAAGGACTGGGGCATTGCTCAAGTGGCTTGCCTAGCAAGATCAAGGCCCTATGTTCAATCAGTGGCAAACTTAGGAGCCCCAAGTATAAGATAGTTCTGTTTCAATAGAGAAGAATCCTGGCTCCCAAGTACCGCATGGAGACTCCCTGTGTACCTTATGATGTGTGTGAGAAACAAGCCATTGTACTCAGAGGATCCTAATGGTTAAGAAGCTCAGACTTAGCTGCCTGCATTTAGTACTCATGAATCCTAGTTACTAGGTACAAGATGTTTTATAGTAATTGCAGAATGTGTGACATTTTTTGATAACTTGAAAAAAAATATTTTAAATCTAATAACCTATTTAGTACCTCTAAATGGAAGAATCTCGAATTACAGTAGGCAGTGTGCATGCATGTACCTGTAAGAGCAGTACAGTTTATCATGAACGCAGCTGGCATTGCTGCCTCATTTTCCCAAGGAGAAGGGTCCCTTCTTTGACAAAGCACTATTTTGCCTGGTTCTTTCTCACCCTGTGGTTTGTGAGCCTGTTAACCGTATCTCCTAATCTTCAGGTTTCTGATCTTTGTCCTGTGATACTGCCTTTTAAAGGTTATGGTCCTATGGGACCTACTTACATCTCAAATGCCCGCTCATTCCAACTGTCACTGGTGTCATCATGTACTTTCAACAGTTCCTTAATAGTACCATGACCCCGTGCATCTCTCCCTGCCCTTCTTTCTCATGTCTGCAGTTGGGCATTGCTCAAGCCTCAAGGTCAGAAGGCAGTTCTCATCTGCTCTTGGACTCCCAAATGCCTTGTCTTACCAGGGTGACCAGTTAAGTCTAAATTGAGATTTGATTTAATAATTTAAAAATATTGCTTTAAACAATAACAGATACTTTAATATTTAACTTTGATTCATGTGCTCTTTTAAAGCAAATTAAAATTTAATCAAACAAGTACATTCAGAATATGAAAAGATTTAAATTAAGCCAGAAACACCCAGTCAAAACCCAAAGACTAAATGCTTATTTTCAAAAAGTAATTCTCTGTCCTGTCCCAAACCTGTCTTCTTATGACTTGTTTGTTCTCACTGGCTGTGTCATCAAAGAACAAAGTAAAGGGAATTTTGGCAGTCAGCCAGTTAATTAAAGACTTGGCCCAAGTACTTGGGCACGAAATCACTTTGTAATCCTCATTTTCTATTTTGACTTCTTATATGATTCAAGTGGATGGAATAATTGCCACATTTTTACTTTACTTTTTATTTTAGAGACCAAGCAGCATTGTCTAAAAGATGGCCACTGTCTTAATTAAAACATAGCATTTAAAGAAACCTATTTGGATGTTTTCAAGATTTCACATGTTTGGATCTGAGTAGGCTCAATTGATATGTGAACAAGGGAAATCTGTGATTTAATGGAATTCTGAAATTGAACCTTTAAGAGCATTTATCTCATGCCCCTCCACCCCCATGGCCAGGGCATACACATATAATAAAGAAGAGAAAAAGTGTGATCAGTGTGACATTTTCTCAAATTACTCATGTTTTACTGAAAAGAAATAATAAGGTAGAAAAGACATAAAATTTTCCTTATTTCTCTGTGTGGTTACATAGAAACTAAGCACTTCTTTTAGTCTTCAGTAGCAAAAATAGCAACCTATTAAGATCAGCACCCAGGCTGGTTTGTTCCAGTGGGGAGACCTTGTGCTAATGAGGCCCAGGTCAGGGACCTAATGCCTATGGGATCTAATTAGCGTCACATAGGAAGAGGCTTCAAGATCCATCAGATGCATGCTCATCCCAGCTAGTTTTGTACATGCACATACTCCTTTTTTATGCCAGGACAGCTCAGATGCAAGGCCTTATCACCTAACATGGCAGCCGCCTCCTAAATGGTCCACCAGCCTCACCCGTGGCCAGGCATGCATAAGCCTACAAGAAGAGACACAGACCCTGCCAGGTTTTAAAGGCTGGTGCTGAACAACCTGACATTATCTCCTGACGTTTCCTAATACAGACTTGGTATTGTGACCTGTTGGTGTCTTCTCTACATTTATGTGCAACAGGAAAATCCCAGCTCTTGTCTTTGCTTAGGCTGTGTCTAGCTTTCCTGCCACTGTTCCAAGGCCCAGTCAAGTCTTCTATCCTTCATAACACCACCCCTGGTCCCTCCAGCCTGTGTGAATTGTTCCCTAAACTCCAGCATCATTTACAATCTCTTTTACATTCAGAGTTTCCCCAAATACCAGTTGTCTCTACTACATATGTCATTGTCACTATTATGTTGTGACTTGACTGTAGTCTTTGTAGCCTGTGAATCTCCAGCCCTCATCCTGATCCAGTGAGGCTCACAAAATCAGTGCTTATAAACAATTAAAGGAATGCTACTTAAAGCAAGTAGCTGGATTCTGCTACCATACATACCCAGTGAAAAATTTTGGGGCTATCTACCACCAGATGCCCTTTTTTTTTTAATACAAAGAATATTACATTACCATTTCACAAAATGAGATCAGCATTAAGAAACCTTAATATGCCCATCATTCTTAATCTATAATATAGTTGATTAGCAATAAATTTTTACAGCAAAATATTTTTGGAATTTATTAATTATGCATAACAATTCCCTGATCAATACTGCTTAAGAAAAGAGGACAGTGGGGAAGAAGTCTTTATTTAAGAATTCTTTTTATAAAAAAAATAACAAATTTATAATGTAAAAATTTAAGAAATGTAATTTTTTTATTTTAGGCATTTTCTAATCTGAGGGGTATTTCATTTTGAACCCAAATCTATTTCAAATCATTAGATGCAAACATTTTTCTCAAAAATAGTTACTACTCAACAACTTCTGGTTTTCTTGAAGCCCAGTCACTCTATAGTTGGCTTTACTGTTGACTTAGCAATATCCTTATCATAAAAACTTTAAGGATAAATATTGTCAAAAGTTCTACATATATATTATCAAAATTAATAAATGCTTTGGACATAGTTATTTTTATATATGTTTGCCACAGACATCATCAGGGTCACCAGCATCTTTTACTCAATCCTGTTGTTGGCAGACACATTCCCGCAAAGTATCTTCTTACAAGCATGGCCATTTTATGTCTCAAGAAAGGGAATCATACCATTTTCAAATTTATATGTAAAACATCTAACATCCAACACAGTGCAGACTGCCTGGTACACACTTGGTACTCTTAAACCTGTAAGCAAAAATTGCATTTTAATATTATGTTCCACTGCATTAGAATCATAGCACTTTGGTGACTATTCACAAAGATGTAACATTCTGTTTGGTGAACTGAAGATGTTGGAAATGTAGAGAGAGTTGATGATAGATCAGTTTTCCCCCTCAGCAACTGGATGGCAATAGATTGAAGATTTGAGTTTCATTTCTCACTGAATTCCCCTACCCAGCATTGTGTAAGCCTAATTGACAAGAGATCTATAAGTTATAAATTAAAAAGGAAGAGCTTTGTAGAAACATTGAGAATGCTGCTTTTTGTTTGTTAACAAATTCGTTGCAATCTCAGCAACTGCCTCCCACCACCAATGCTAGATGGTGGCCTACAGAGACAATGATGGCCTATGGAGCCCTGCTTCCTGTTCCCATACCATCCCATGCTTCCCTGCAGCAAAGCAAGGATAAAATGGGCTGTGTGTCTCACAGAGGGCATGGCTGTCTTGTCATTACCATATCTCAAATGCCTGACCCAGTACTTGGTATTAGATCACAGAGTGAGTAAATAAATACTGCTATTTTGAGGGCAGTAAAGATATGAAGATGAATAATACAGCAAAAATCTTCTAAAGAGTCAGAACTACTATCCTTCCAGCAAACTAATTTTTCCTGACTTAGCATTTAAAAGTTATTTTTTAAAAAAACTTTTTGCTAATAGCCCAAGCATATAAAAAAAATTCTATAAGAAAATTACTAAAAAATACAAAAACACCAGTAGCTATATGAGCAAAGGACTTGATTGAGCAATTCACAGAAGAGGATTTATAAATGACTAACAAACATGAATAAAAATTATTCTAAGCCAGATGTGGAAGTACACAGCATAATAATGGGAGTTCAAGGCCAGCTTGCACTACATAGAGAGATCCTCTCTCAAACAAACAAATAAAAATGCTTTGAAAACTATCTATTAGGTTCCTTCCCCCTTTTAAAATCTGTTTGGATTTTGGATATGGATGCAAAATTAGATCAGATGTGAAGTTGGTGAGGTCTTGAGTGTTTAAACAATGTGCTCTGCTGTCCACACAGCAACCCTGATCTCCGGAGAACTGAGCCCATCTTAGAGAGCCCTTTGCAGAGGACCAGCAGTGGCAGCTCCTCCAGCTCCAGCACCCCCAGCTCCCAGCCCAGTTCCCAAGGAGGCTCCCAGCCTGGGTCACAAGCAGGATCCAGTGAAAGAACCAGGGTTCGAGGTAACACATTCTTTTATCCTTCCCTGGACATTTTGTCTGGGGAGGAAAGCTGGAATAGGGAAAAGGGGTTGATTCTGGTCCCAGTGTGGCCACCACTGAAAAGCCCTTGAGTACTCTCAGCCTCAGTTGCCTGAAGGGACTGGGCCACCATCTCTAATTATGTGTGTGACATCAGAGTGTGTACAAAATCCTCTCTAATCTAAGGAGATCACTATATAGTGGTCTTATTTGAAAATATACTTACCAGTCACCAAAATGATTTCCTGTTCTTAGAATTTCACGTACTCTCAAATGTCCTGTTAGCATTGTGCCAATAATCCCTTTTAGTATTCCAAACATACTTCCTAATTCTAGGTATTTCTCAAAGTGAAATTCTATAAAGAGTATTGTAGAATAAATACACTCAAGGGAAGAAATAAAATCATTGACTTAAAAATATTTGACTCTTCAGGGTATTCCTATTAGATAGATAAAAATCAGCCTCTCCAAGCATTTAATTCAAATCATTCATCATTGTTTAGTTGTCCCTGGTGAGGAAACCCATGAAAACATTAGTACTATACAGGTAACTATGCATAGCAATGCATTGTTTCTAGCTAATCAAAATTCACTTTTTTACTTCCAAGTGATAAAGACCAGTACTTTTTGAAATGCAGTTTAATACATGTTAATACACTTATAAATTGCTCTGTCTGATGAAAATCACCTGTACTCTTTTCTTTCTTAGCCCTTTCAGTAGACCCAACCATAATTTACCTCCTAACATTCCTTTTTAGGTTTCAAATAAGTAAAAATATCGTGTATCCATTTTGAAAAGCTTGCCACCTGACACACATGTATTGTGGGACATGGACTAGCCCATGGCTGCCCCGTATATATTTTTCTGACATCTGTGGCATACCCTAGAGTCACATTGTCTTTGTGGCTGGGATCCAAACACAAATCTTCTTAACTTAGAAAACTATCATTTCCTTACCCTTTTTTCTATTCACAAGCAACTTCATATCCTTGTTAGAGCAAATATTAAGGAGAACCAAAATTATACCTATCATTCTCTGGCCTACCTCAGGATTAATTCTTATATTCTTTCCTTCAGCCCCCTAATTCTTCTGGGTGAAAACTGCTCTTGTGTCCCTGGTATATTTCTACTTAGGAAAGACCACTTTAAAACAAAAATCTCTCCTACCCTAGTCTACTTCACTTCTACCTCTGAGTGCATAAACTAGATAGATCTATTCACCCTGTAGCTGCAGGGAGCCTCCCCAGCCCTTGGCCAGCACCTCTACTCTAGAACTTTTCCCCCTATCGTTAACATCCATCCTTTCTTCCTTAAAAGGCCCAGGCCACTCCCTACTCCATTTAAGAAACTTTCCACCAAATAAAATAAAATTTCTCTTTCTTTTCCACAAATTTCTATCAGAGTAACCTATTCTGCGGAGTAGGTGGTAAAAGAAGAACAAAGTCTGGAACCTTAATATAGAAGCTGGTTTCAATTGAGAACAGGGCTTTCAGAAGACAAAAGCAATCCCAATTGGGTTCATAATTTCAGGATCACCTCATGCCAATGGTGTCATCTCTCCGAATCTGCATTTAACTATAAAATGGCAAAATAATGCTGCAGCATCATTTGGAGCAAAATTAATTGAGATAATTGACAAATAAAGCACTGTGCCTGATACACAAAAATTGCTCAGTAAATGGAGGTGACGGTTGCTTTCCACAACTTTTCTTCTTATACTGGCGACTTCTAGGTTACAGCCCTCAATGTATCTGCCTGTTTCTGGTTCCTGAACATTTATTATTTTTCTATGAATATGCTTATAGATTTGCCTATAAGAGAATGACATGTACACTGGGTCATCCTGGAGGAATGGCTCTTCACAAGTGACTCACCGACAACATGGATCAGTGCTTTTTGATAGTCATACCAAGTCTTTTTTGGCCTTCTGTTTTTCCTCTAGCCAACAGTAAGTCAGAAGGATCACCTGTGCTCCCCCATGAGCCTTCCAAGGTGAAACCAGAAGAGTCCAGAGACATTACCCGGCCCAGTCGACCAGCTGTGAGTGCTTTTCTCTCTCAGAGTTTTTAACTCTTTTAATTTTACCAGACAACCCCCAGTAGTTAGGGATATACACATGATTGTGAACAAAGTTGTTGATCTTAATAAGAAGAATGGGTGCTAGATGCATCCAGAAGGAAATTATTTCTGATTAGGAAAAATCTGGTCTTGGGTTGCTTCCTCTGCCTTTGGTTATTTTGCTCATCATCAGTGCTCCTTTAGAGAATAAAACAGGAAGAGAAATAATTCATAGTTCATAATTTCTGCTCAGCAACTCTGGCAAAAAGAAGTTAAACCTAGTGCTTAAGGACATGAGCATTTCCTGTGGATTTCTTTTATGTATTCTGCACTTTCCCCATATTATTTCCCATATGCATTAACAATATAGTTTTTCTGCTACTTTTCATGCCTTTATGAACTGTCTTTTTTGAACTGATACTTGATAAATATGGTGTGATGGAGCATGACAACTTGAAATCCAGAGCTATTGCTGTAACAATGATGGACCCCAAGTAGCCTTAAAGAAAGAAATGAGTATGAAATTTGAAAGTGGAAGATTAATTTGGAATGAGTTATTATCTACTTAATTTCAGTTTTCTGAGAATCTTTCCTATGAAATGAAAGTAAGCCTTTTTGGTGTTCTCTGATTTGTGCACTTAAAGTCAGGAGGTACACTGAGCCACAGCAAAGAGAATTTGCATTTGATATCTTTGCTCTTTTGTCTTTATCAGTTTTGTACTAACGATTCCAATTTTGTTTCTAACGATTCCAATTTTGTTTCTAACCTGCTTCCTTTCTTCTGGCTTTTCCCCTTCTGTGGATTCTTCTGGATTGGGTTCTTCTTATCTCAGAGCTATAAGAAAGCGATAGATGAGGTTAGTATTACCTTTTCTTGGTCATGCTTTTACAAGATGTAAATATTAAACTGATTTCCCAGTGTTGACATTCAGAAAGGCGGCCAGTGGGATCACAGGTATAAAGCCCACTTGTGTGTAGTCATCTGCTGGGGAGAGAGCCCCTTCATGGAGACCAGCCTGAGACTCTCAGACCTACCCATGAAAGGCTTCCTGCTAAGCAAAAATGTCACTTTCCAATGCTCCAGCCTGGCTACCTCTTTACTGACAGCAGAGTTTCTCCTTTCAGTACTTTCTAATAGCAAACCTGCGCTGGTGAGCCTTGCTAGGAGATGGCTGTCAGTGGTTTTACTAATAGAAAAGAGACATCATTCTAGCACACTCCAAATTTATAGTGTGTGATTTGTGAACAAGGAGTTACTGGGCATTGTTAGATTAATTTTGTGGGACATTAATTACAGTAGCAGCAACAGCATCAACTTTAGTTAATGAATCCTGGTATTAAGTAACTTCATTTCCTTATCTGTGGAGACATTTTTCCATTAGAAATATATATGGGTTTGTCAATTTTAGGTAACTTGCTAAGAAGGATGACAGCCTTACTGCTTTTGTTAGACCTGCACGAATAGAGCATGGTGGAATTGTTTTTAAGAGCCAGGCCTTGCAAAAAGTCTTAAATGTGTGGAACCCAAAGACTTACCATTATAGCAATAAGACTGTATCTCTGCTGAGCAAGATTTTTGTGAAGTTACATGGAAAAAGCACTGGCTTGGGGGACCAACAAGCAGCACTTAAATCATGGCTCCCCCAATAAAGAGCTGGCTATATGAGTCTCATAATCTCTCTGTGCCAGAGGTTCCTCATTTGTAAAATGGAAATTAAAATACCTGCCCCGCCTCACTTACAAGATGGTTTAGGACCACTCAGGTGATACGGGCAAAAGCAGTTCATGAAGCAGAAAGTGCTGTGGAAAGCCAAGGTGATTGTTAAGGTTTGGGCCAGAGGCATAGAGCTGTTTTTGCAGGTGGGAAAAGCATGTTCCTATGCATCTGGTCTTCACCAAGTAACTGCATTTTTTTCAGAGTTATGACCACCTTACCATTCAAACCGTTTAGAAAGTTATTATCCTAGTTCAAGTATTGCCATTAATAAAGGAACGAGACCGCATGTCTACAGAGAGTGGTTGGTACTCATGGGAAGAGAGCAGGGGAATGTTTATAACTGCTCTGTGCCGTGGCCTTGCTTGTTCCTTTCCCTCACAATAGTGAGGATGGGGGGATTGTCATAACTCTCATCAGCTTTCTCCCAGGACAAGTGAAGAAAGAGAATGAGTTTTTGGTGCAGTGGCTGAGAATAAAATGGTTGTGTGTGTGCACAGCTCAAGGGAAACTGCCTACATCCAGAGATTAGTGTGAAGATGGCTACATGAGGGAAAGGACTCTGGCGAGCTTCATGTGGTTATGCCTGGGTACTTTTAGGCTTTAAACATCATTCTGTTTATTTTAGTGTACTCCACCACACTGGATGGAGATGAGATAGAACAACAGAGGTATACGTAATTGAGGTGATGGAGCTGCATGCCAAAATCTCTGGGGCCATATGTGGCTGGGAAAAACCCTTCAGGTGATCTGACAATCCTTGACTCTCACTGACCTGGACCTCTGAAAACACAGGATGACTTGATCCTTAAGAGACACAAAGTCTGGAGACAGTGTTGGTTGTCACACTTTGGGGTAGGAGGCAGCACTGCTGGTATCTTGGGGATAGAGCAGAGGGATACAGCTAAACATCTTAGAAAACACAAGAGACTCCCATGACAAAGAATTATCTGTCCCCAAATAGCTAAACTTTTCTCCCTTTTCTGTTCCTAGATTTTAATGTGGCTTCCTTCTCAGTGATGTTTTGCCATTTAGATAACAATTACCACAATTGAAATGAAAAGTCTTAAAACTTTTTTTGAAAATTTAGTTTTTATTGCTAATTTAGTTGTTTAGCTTTTCATAAGAATCAGCCCTTTAATTTGGCATTATTTTCTCATGAAATATGAGATCTCATAACAATCTGATTATTTAATACAGCACTTACAAATAAATACTTTTTTCTTGGTCACAATTAAATATGTGACATGAAAATTAAATGTATAAGCAAACACTGGCTTTACCACTATACTTTCATTAGTATGCAGTAAACTGAAAAACTCTAGATCACATCCATGGATGGAATGGAACTTGAGCAATAACTGGTGGTCTAAACCTTCTCTCTCAGATAAGGATACTGAAGTTAGTAACTTGCTCAGTGCATATCTTTAGATTTTCTAAAGAGGAAATAAATTATTTTAACACATAAAGAAAAGATCTGCTTAAAACTCTTTAACAATATAATGGTTCAAGAAATTGAACTAAAATTTGAATAAACTATATTATTTCCAGAGATCTAAAAGAGCACCTTTGTAAGCAAGATGTGCATAACTATCAGATTAAATAAGCTCTTTAGATTAAAAATTATATCAATCTGAATCTAAAAAGTATTCCATCAAAGAAATCTTTCGATACAAGCCTCTTAATGTATCTCTGTAGAGATAAATTTATCTCTTACTTACACTATAGTCAAAACAATCTTATCATTTTACCATATTTCATTTTTAGTTATACGTTCTCAAGTATTTTTATGCTAAAAAGTCCCTTTTTGAGACTTTTTAGCTTCAGGCTTGAGACAGCCAAGCAATAAATTACTACAAAGACTCATTATGTGGAGAAAATTGGAATTGTCAGAGAATAAAATTATGAGAATGGATCTGAACCCCATGGTATCATATTTAGATTATGTCTGTTTTCTCTAACTTTGCCATTGTAAATTTTTTCAGAGTGGATAGCAAAGAAACAAAACTTCAGCTAAACATGTAGCCTGTTGGCAAGGGAAGATTAATTTTCTTTTACCGGGGTATTAATTTTGGGTTACTCATTATTGTTACCTTGGGATTTTCATATATGTCTCACTCGCCAAGCTGTTACCAATTAAGCTTAAAAGGAATTTTCAATTATTTCTAATGTTTCGGGAAAGAACTTTTTAATAACATAGCAACAAAAATTATGATTAAAAGCAAAATTATAAAGCAGATCAGAACTTTTAAAGTGTTTCTAAATATAGTGTTTAGGAAAATAGGTCATTTTACTGAGTAAAACTATCTTTAAATCTATGGGATATGAACCAGCTAAATATTTCTAAGTAATTTTGATTTTTTTTAAATCTCTTGTCTTGTTTTGAAATGTCAGAGATAAGGAAAACCATGTCCAGGGGGAAAATGTAGCACTATTTTAAGTAAGTCTTAGCTGATAGTACTATATTTACTCAGGATAATTGACAATAGAGATAAATTCTTTTAAACCATATTCTCTCTTTAAATCATAAAATGTAGCTTTTAATGACAAGTAACATTTTCTGTGTTAGTTATATTCTTTGATGAGACTTAACCTGGTCTTAACATATAAAAGTCAAAATACAAAATAAATTTGTCTAATTTAATATTTTACTGATTTGGAAGATTAAAATGCCCTTTTCCCTTCATAGTTTTTTTTTTTCATTACAAATATCTAGATTCTATGTTCCCATTGTGCTCAAGTAGAACATATTCTTCACTATCTTTTCATTTAATAAAGATAAGCTTTGGCAATTATCAAGAGGAAAAAAGCAAAACATTAAAATCTGGATATTAGCTTTTCCTATTTTGGCTCATTGCCAAAGAAACCAGAAATAAATTTGCATACTATCCTATGTTTGTGTGGTAGCTTCCCTCTTCTTTAATAGTGTATATTTTATTTAAATACCATTGGGTCTTTTTAATACAATTCTATTTTCACTTTCATTGATGGAATGAATCTATCCCCTGAGACTCAGGCCACACATTGGAGCGAGTATGGACGGAAAAGCCCTAGCAAGTGTGTTTGTGTATATAATGCACACTTTAAATTTTCAGAAACTTCCCTCTTCCAAGGGCTTCCATTCAAGTGACTTCAGGACAAATTTAAAAGTCATATTGTTTCCCTATGAAAATTTTCATGAAATTAAAAAGAAATGACTCATTCACTTAGCACCATGAGCTCCCTAAATTTCAAGAGAAACGCCTGAAGTGTTTTATCCCTTAGTCACCAAAACAGTGGTGCCTGACTTGTAGCTGGCAATATATAAACATGATGGCTTGTTATTGTCTCAAATAAAATTATAATTACAACTTAACTATGCACACTGATCACAGATTTTCTTCTCACCAATTGGGATAAATCATCTAACATCGCTAGGTCACCTAGATTATATCAATCCTACATCAGGGGAATTGGACAAATACATTTCTGGACTGAAATAAAGAGAGAATATGGCCATAAGAAAATTGTAGGATTTAGTATTTTTCAATGAGTTTTTTTCTCCCTAATCCCCTGTCTCTCACTGAATGCTCTGATTCCCACATGGGTCACTAAATAGGGAGAAATGGTAAGACCGATGTCAAATTGCTTTTTCCTCATTTGCATGCTGTGTGCCATGGGCAGTTTAACCCATGCAAATTAGAGCGGCCATGCTTTTGCAGAACTGCTTCCCTCTGCATTGCTCTGCAAGCATGTAAAGTAAAAGATAGTCAGATATGTAGCACACTGCCTGCAATGTGCCTGGTGATCAAGTACCACATCATCACATCCATGAGACTAAGGTTCCATCGTACTCATGGAAAACTGGACAATTAGCTCTTCCTTTTGGTGTTTGTACATTCATTTCAGTGTTCTTCGTCAGGGTTTCTGCCAGGTGACTGGACTTTAAAACCTAAGAAAATAAAACACCTATTATTCTGGAAGAGAACTCCTTTTTTTTTAAGTTCCTCTTCTTTAATTCAGCTTTGTGGCTATAAATTTCAGTAGCACTAGACTTTGGGGTGAACCACCATTTGATGTGTGCCTCTGCTCTCTGGGGAATGATGACACACCAAATGAACCCTGGGAACTGCTCTGTTCTGTGACTGATGCTAGATTTTTTCATGATAGAGATCTAAGAGGGGGAGGCCATCACTGTGGCTTGGGAAGGAGTTCCAAAATACTGGGGGGAAATTTCTAATCCCACATATTTTCCCATTAACTCTGAAGGTGACCAGCTTCACCTTTTCAACACAAAATGAGAACACAATGTTTATATATACGTGTATATGTACAACATGGCATACACATATATGCACATATATAATCAGAACTGGACAGTCTCAGTCTAGCTATTGGTTTTGAACAAAGATTAAATGGATTTCATCTTTCTTTTCTAGCTTCTACACGCTACAAACATCGTTTATCTTAGTTCCATGCAGTAACTGTTTGTCACAGTTCTCTATAGAGCTTTTTTTCTTTTCTTTCCTTCTTTTTTTGTTTTTCTTGTTGCTTAAGCTGGAGCACTGACTTGCTGAAAGATGTAGCTTCGGTCCTCTGTACAATTCATATGCTGAATGAACTTTTCTTTTGTAGGATCTGACGGCATTAGCCAAAGAACTGAGAGAACTCCGAATTGAAGAAACAAACCGCCCACTGAAGAAGGTGACTGATTACTCGTCCTCCAGTGAAGAGTCAGAGAGCAGTGAAGAAGAAGAGGAAGATGGAGAAAGCGAGACCCATGATGGGACAGTGGCTGTCAGCGACATACCCAGACTGATGTAAGAAGACTTTTTTTTTCTTGAGACAGGGTCTCCATATGTTGTCCAGGCTGACCCCAACTCCTAGGCTCGAGTAATTTTCCTGCCTCAGCCTCCTGAGTAGCTGGGACTAAAGACTCAGGGTACCAGCTCTAGATTACTTCCTAAATGTAGACCAGAAGGGGATGAGGCCACCAAACAGAATAACAAGGGGGAAAATGAGCTAAATATATATCATATATGGGTCACTAGCAAGGTAAATAGACTTTGGGGATTTGGGTTCTTGTTAGGACCTTGTTCTATAATTACCTCTCTCCACAGACACCATCACATAGACTGTGCTGCATTTTGGACTGTGTATGCTTTACCTGCCCATTGCCTTTGGATTGACTGTCCTTTTGGTCACTCCTTTCTGCCTCTTTTCATCTTAAGGGTAAACAATATTGGCAACTAGACCACTGGGACATGCCTTTTCCCCTAGAACCAAAAGAGTGAATCAAAGACAATGACATTCAGAAATTAAAATGAATGACAGGACACAATATACTCCATCACCATCACTGCCACCAAAAGTAAGAGGAATGTACAGGCAGCGTTGTGAGGTACCATCCTCACAAAAGAATCATGAGTCAAATACTCAAACTTCCAAATGTTTGACTTAATTATTCCCTGTTATCATTTTCTTCTTCTCCTCCCCTTCCCTCTCTCTCTCTCCTTTTCCCCTCCCCATCCTTCTCCTCTTTCTTCTTTCTTGGCTATACTGGAGTTTGAACTCTGAGCTGCCTACGCAGTGCTCTACCTCTTGAGCCACATCTCCCAGCTCTTTTTGCTCTGGCTATTTTGGAGACAGGAACTTTCTTTTTGCCAAAGCCAGTCTGGATTGAGATCCTCCTATTTTATACTTTCTGCCATAGCTGGAATGATAAGTGCAGGCCACCAACCAAGCTTTTTTCTATTAAGATAGAGTCTCATGGACTTTTTTGGGTTTTTTGCCCTGACTGGCCTGAAACTGTGATCCTTGGGATCATAGCCTCCCAAGTAGCTAGGATTACAGGCATGAGTCATGGGCACCTGGTTTCATCCTCTTCTTAATCTCTTTTACTTGATCCATTTTTCTGTGGTCAGTGTCTTCACCACATACTTTCTGTTAGTCTATTTGCCATCTTCTTTTTTGTATGTTTTTATCTATAGCTACCGCTATAGCTATAGATAGATAACAGGTAGATAGACAGATAGATAAATGATAGAGGCACAGATACATATACCTATATATATATGTACCCCTTAGTAGTTATAGCCTTTACATCTTTTTTTTTTAACATAAGAGATTCACTGCTTTTTCTCATTAGAATAGATCTTCTGGGGATGCTGCCATCTTGTCTTGCTTCCCCAACCACTCCCCAAATAAACACAAGATGTCATTGCACAGGCTTGCCATGACTTTGATAGAACACAGTGCTAACTCTCCAGACTTTACTCTTTATTCACCTCTATTTCTTTAGCTTAGCTATTTGTGTTGATTATCAGACTGTATTCACTCTACATAGAAGAGATGTCAAAAGGCCACAAATTATTATCCTGTTCAACAGGGATTAGAGTGACAGACCTAACCAATCTGCAGGGTTAGCATTGTTACATATTACAATGATTAGCCATTGTTACATACAAGCAAATCCAATTATCATTGATGAATATCCATACTTGTTATTTTACTGTTGATTAGCAGTTATTGACAACCATAAATGTGCTAAAATATGACATTTTGAAACAAATTGTTTTAAATTGCTCTTTTAACAGCAAATAAAATTGTTCTAGAGGCAGAAATCACTAATCCAGAACATTTCTACAAAATATGCTGGCCCTTTCGGTTTTTGTCTTGACTCAGCATTGTTTAATTCTTCTAACAGCTGTTTAGAATTCCCTCTCAGCACTGAGCCCACATCTATCAGAATGACAAGAGATTACAAAATTAAAATTACTGAGATTTCCATTATGTATTAGACACGCTACTGAGGGCTCTGAGACATTTGAGAAGTACATTCTGCCTTCCAGAAAATTTATATTCTAGTTGGACAGAGATAAATTAATACATGGAATATTGGGAGCTAATATAAAAAAGAAAAACCAAAAATAGTTTGTGAGGAAATTTTAAATGGCCTTTGAGTTTTAAACCCCCTATGACATTTTGTGACAGATGTTCAGTTCTCCTTAACATTCCCAAAATAAACCACACTGCACTTTTCTCTGTCGTGTGGCTCGCTCCTGTCCCTTTAGGAATCACCTACTCAAAGCCCAGTCTGCAAAGGTAGAGCCATCCCCTCTTCTATGCTGCCACTGTATCTCATGTATTCCTGAATTTTCATGGAGCGCCTTGAAAGAGGATTATTTATTATATGGGCTTTCTCTCTCTCTGTCTCTCTACATCTGTCTCTGTCTCTGTCTCTTTCTCTCTCTCTCTCTCTTTCTTTCTCTCTCTCTCTCTCTCTCTCTCACTCTCTCTCTGTCTCTCTATCAACCGTAAGTCCCCTGAGGGTGGGGATAGTGTCTTACCCATCTCTCAACTCTGAATACCTTACATGGTGCCTGGAATAGAAATGGTCACCAATGACCATTATACCTGTGTTTAATTACATTGAATTGAAATTGCAAGTCCTCATCCAAAGGAAAGATGTATGTTTAAATTATACACACAAGACAGAAAAGAACAAGAGATAGTACTAGAATGACAGGCAGAGGAAGAGTTGAAGGAAGGCACAAAAGGTTGAGTTTGGTGGAAATGTAGATTTCAGGGCAGTGAAAGAGGGGTTCTGAATTGGGGAAAACAGACAATAATGTACACTTTATCTTGTAGCCATTGGAAACCATTAAAGTGTCTTGAGTTGAGGGTGACATGATCAGTGCTATGTTTGAAGGAGATTATTACTGGTAAAGCAATTCAAAAGATCTATTACAATGATTCAGGTAAGAAATAAGCTGAGGCTTCCACGGAATGCTTACAGTGGAGGCAAGATTTGACATGGTTCTTGAATTTTAAATTTTGGATATGATTCTTAAATTTCAGATAGACTGAAATGATTATCCCCTAAAGAGTACTTAAAATACATACAAGATATACTCAGGAAAAAAGACACAATATATATCTGTGTGTATGTGTTTACTCCAATTTGCTCAATAGTATGATTGTGTTTTTACATGCATATAAAATAGATACAGTCTGCCCGCCAACATGCTAGTTGAATACCTGAGGAATTTTACACCATTAAAAATATATTACAAATAGTTTCTTTTTTAGGAGTAGAGTGTTTGGGAACTAAAGTGCTTTTCATAAACACTCTTACTACCTTAATTTTCTTTTGTTAGGATAAATATTGACATTTTTAGAGCAGAAAAAAAAAATTTTATTGTTATTCATATGTGCATACAATGCTTGGGTCATTTCTCCCCCCTGCCCCCACCCCCTCTCTTACCACCCACTCTGCCCCCTCCATCTCCCCCCCACCCCCTCGATACCCGGCAGAAACTATTTTGCCCTTATTTCTAATTTTGTTGTAGAGAGAGTATAAGCAATAATAGGAAGAAACAAGGGTTTTTGCTGGTTGAGATAAGGATAGCTACACAGGGCATTGTCTCACGTTGATTTCCTGTGTGTGGGTGTTACCTTCTAGGTTAATTCTTTTTGATCTTACCTTTTCTCTAGTTCCTGGTCCCCTTTTCCTATTGGCCTCAGTTGCTTTTAAGGTATCTGCTTTAGTTTCTCTAGAGCAGAAAAATTAAAAGATAGTAGCACATAGTTCACGCTCATGACATGTCCACAGAAGAGTTTCTCAGAAGTGGAGCCCCAGTTCATGCCTGTATGGAAAGCCCTTTGTATTATTAATGTACGCTAATTCAAAAAGATAACAAACTATTTTAAAAAAAAGAAAAAGAAATGGAGCCCAGTCTTTCAGACAAGCGGCTGTGAATTCCAATGTTCCAAGCTTTTTCCTACGGGCAGTTTCATATTCATTGTATGAGACATAACCTGTAAGAGTACATATAGCCAGTTTTGTGTTCCCTCTCTAGCTAATTCCACTACATCCCAATGTCTCATGCACAGAAAAAAATGAGTGGAAGGAAATAAATCAAAATTTTAAAAGTGATTACCTCCAGATAATACAGTTTTTAGGGACTTTAATTTTAATTATATCCCCAGTTATATAATGGGTATGTACTACTTTTAGTGAGGAAAAATAAAAGCTTTATAGAACAGGAAGAGGGAAGGAAAGACATGGAAGTTGATCTGCATCACACTGAGCAAGCAGAAATGGTGTCCTTTTGTGTAGTGCCCTCCCTTGGGTCCCAATGCGAGCTGCAGAACAGTACAGGTAGGCACATGGATCACCACAACAATCTACTGCTAGCACAGTCGGTGAATTTTATGCAGTCTCACAAAATGCCATCCCGACAATGAAGGCCACATACCTTTGTGCTCTCTCCTTTTGTTCTTGTTAAAGAGCCTGACTGACCCCACTGCTCGCTTCACTGCAGTGTAATGCGCCCCTCTTTTAAATCCTTTGCCCTTGTAGCCCTTGTCCAGACACTGAATTGCTTCATGTTGCACAAGGAGACTGATCGTGCTTTATACCTAGCTCCCTACAGTCTTTTACACTTCTGGGTCTCATGATTTCCTCTAACATGCTCCAGCCAAACTGACCCCCCATCACCCAAATGTCCCTGAAAAGGAAATTTCCCATAGGAAATGGAATAGTCCCTCCCTCTGTTCTTTTTCACTATGCCCTGCCTTATTTTTGAGTACATTTGGGATGCTCTTTTGTTCTTATGGATGCTAACCGCTTTAGTTTTAGGAGTCATATCTTCTTGTTTTCAATCTTCTACCCAGTGTCAAACCCAGAGCTTTTCACATAGCAGGTGCTCAGTAAGAATGGGTTGAATTAAATCAAGACCTCCAGGAAACTGACAAATCCAATTAGAGGAAATTATTGTTCTAAACCTCAGCCCAGTTATACTATATATCCCATTGC